GGCTGCAGAGAATATAATCAATCTGATTTCAGTATTGCCCATCTGGTGATGTCCACGTGTAGAGTCACCTCTTGTGTTGTTGGAAAAAAATCCTGAAGACACTTTTATTTCTGTCTCCTTAGAAAAAGAACTCTTTTTCAGCAGAACAAGATGGTCCTTTAAACTGCTCATTGTTTTACACTGACAACTTTTCAGCTCAAGAATTGTTCTTTTCTCATTCCATTTTCCCTGTGAGAAGCAAGCAAGCTATGAAGTACTATGTGGACAAAAGCAACTTCACTTACATCTTGTCTCATTCAGTGGACTACAAGTCCATGTTTTGTCTTGGACAGGAAGGTGTTCCACCTGCCTTCTGTTCCATAGGCTATAGGGTTAGGAATTCACAAGGATGTGACAGCATCCAGACCTAATTCTGTTAGAAGTGTGAAACCTCAGCAGGCTTCTGGAAAGTGCCGCCTCGCCAGCCCCGACTCCGCCACCTGACAACGGAAGTGACGCCACTCCGACGTCACCGGCTACACCCCCATCCACCCCCCCACCACCTCCCGGGCCGGGAGAAGCAGAGCTCTCGGCCGGGCGCCATGTTGAAGCTCCGCGCCCGCCTCCAAAATGGCGACCCCGGCGCTCTGATTGGTGTACGGGAAAGCGAGAGCGAGGGAAAAGGGGCGGAAGGAAGGGACATGGGGCCGCGCGATTGGCCAGGAGGCGGGCTCTTCTCTCGCTCTGGCCTGAGGGGAGCTCCCTGCCCCGATCGGAGCCCGCGATGGGTCTTCTTCTGCTAGCCACGCCAGGAAGTGGCCGGGGGGGGGGGGCTGAGATGAGCTTTTGGACTACAACCCCCAGAATCCCCTGGCGTTGGCTCTCCCGGCAGGGGCTGCTGGGAGTAGAAGTCCAAGGGTCTCAGCAAACCCTTCCTAGCCTGCAGGCGCAGCCTTGAAATGGTCAGTCTTGCAAACCCACCGCTTGCAAGGCTGGCTCCATAACCCAAGCCTGGCCCCTGCGGAACCCCTTGCCACAAGGCTGCTGGAAGCATGGGCCATTGTCTTCCACGGAAGAGGATGAGGGGCCTCTTGGAGGCCAAACTCAAGGGGTCTCATGTGGGCCAGAGGGGTGTTTCCTGGCCTGGCCAGAGACCAAGCTCAGGAACTCTCCTGCATGCTGCTTGGCTTGGTTGCTGTGCCCTTGAAACCCTGCTCTTCTCCCTCTCCTGGGTTCGGCCCTTGGGCCAGGGCTGAGAGCCCCACTTTCTTACAGTGCCGCGAGCCTTCTCTCTCAACGTCATTCCGGGAGCTTTCCTGGCAAGCGTGGCTCTCCACCGCGGCTGGTTCAGCCAGGTAGCCCGTGGCCTGAGGGGGTTGCCCACAGATGATTTCCCCTGTGGCTGCAGCCCACAGCCCAAAAGCAGGAGATTGCTTTCCTTGCAGAGAGAGCACAGGGAACAGGGAACAGGGAAGGGCAGACGGTTGGTCTATGGATTCGAAAGACACACCCAGCCCTCCAAAACAATCCCTCAGGAGGGCAATATGGGACGGGGCAGGGAGGCGAGGGTGGAGAGGCAAGCCTGCACATTTCAGCCACCCCCTGCAATCCTTCCTTGCTTCTCCCACAGCTGCTCCAGATCAGATCGCCCGGTTAAGGTCACAGGAGGAGAGGGAAACACGTCACCCAGCTGGCACACACAGCCGGGGCCACTGCCAGCCCGTTTTGCAATTGCTGCTCCTGGTGAGTCACGCTTGGGTGGTGGTGGTATCAGGAGGAACAGCAGTTGTGTGTACGCGCTCTTCCTCTCCATCTGCCCGGCAGCTGAGCGGTTGCGTCATGCAGGCATGAGTCACTCATGGCCCGGGAGCCTCCGGCATTCCTTGTGGAAGGGAAAAAGGCACCAGGCAGGTGACAAAGGTTTAGTTTCTGTGGTTCTCCCAGCACAAAATGGGCGAGGTCAGGTGGCAGCCAACACACCCTTCCCTCTTTTATTCCCTTTCACGCACACACCCTCCTTTCTACTCAAGGAGGAAGAGGAGAAAGAGGCCTGTGCCCTGAGTGGTCAAGGGAGTGTGTGAGAAAGCAGAGCAGAATTTGGCACAGAGCGAACGCTGGAGCTGAATAATGACCTCTTTCCCCACCCTTCATGTCTGCAGGCCCAGGGCAACTGGCTGTCAGAGCAGTGCTTTTTCTAGAGGTGGGACAGGGGAACAGCAAGGCACCCGCCCCTTCTTTGTCCAGCTGAGAGCTGCAACCAGCTGGAGAGGCAGCCTCCAAGCATCCCGGAGCCCTTTGATTGACGGACCAGGGCAGAATACACTTCCTTGCTCTCTATTTAATCTGCGTCTGCAAAACCACAGAAAGCAGAGTCTGTACAGTATATGGCTCTGCCCCACAGGATGTCACTCATTATCTCCCTAAGAACAAGACATATACACATCTTCTGTAGGAGGAGTCCCCTGTCATTTTGGCATGTGGGCGGCTGCATCCTCAGAAGCATCAGCCATCTTTGACTGTGGACCTGGGGAGCTGAGGTGGAAAGACAGCTTTCTTCCAGATCGGTCTGGAAGATTCAAACAGAGTGGGATGGTTCAAAGATCTTTTCCACACTCAGATGCTGGTAGGACACTGTTTGCAAAACCAATCTTAACAGTTGTGTTTATTCTACGAAAGAGCAGTGGAGGAGAAGAGGGAAGGGCTGGTTTGGTCAAAGTGGGAGGCGGATGAGAAGACAGAAGGACTGCCTCCAAGACTGCAGCCGGGGGCTTTGGGTATCCTGACCCATGACTGTAAGCATTATGGTCACAGAGCAAAAGATCTTACCAAGCCCATTCCTCTCTCTGCAAACAACCAACCGGTGAATTGGAGCCAAGTGAGGCACCCAGAAAGAACACAGACCCTCTCTCCAAAGACTCCTTGAAACCTGAAGCCAAAAGAGGGATCTCAAGAGAGGACAAGGACGTGTCCGGCAGAGGTCAGGGTACTGGCAGGTTCATTTGTCCCTCTGCTTGAGAAACTCCTTCCTTCCCTTGTCCCGGCCGCCAAAAGTGCGGACTCTGTGAATCAGCTGCAGCTGCGTCTTGATAGTGGCCGTGATGTCCACGTCGTCAGGGATGTGGACGTAGCGAACGTTCCTCCCCGTCACAAAGAGCTCTGCCAGCCACGAGGAGTGGCCTGCGCGGTCTGTGTACGTGGCCTTGGCCAGGCGAATGTTCATGAAGGCATCCACGTTGGTGATGTTGCCCACGGCCACGCTCTCGTCCCGGAGCTCGACGGTGGTGACGCGCCCATGGAGTCCCTGCAGCAGGATCACCAGGCTGTTCTCGGAGATGGTGCGCTCCTTGACCGAGTGGCTGATCTCCATGCCGGAGCGATTCCCCCTCGGCGACTGGAACAGAAACGGGAAGAGTGGAAGCTGGGGTTGGCTGTTTTCATGGCCCGCCAGGCCTTGGAGCCCAGAGAGACCGGTGGTGGCCAGCCTGGCCAGAGCGCCCACCAAAGGGGCCAGCCTGAAGAGTTTTACTAGCCCACTGGTCGCAGCAGCAGAGGGGCAGAGAAATCCATGACCCCACAGGGCAAGCCTCCGCTTTTTGCCTCTGCGATGCAGTTCCAGGCTGAGAGGGGACCCCCCTCCCCCCCATCCCTTGCAGGACCTTGCTTCGTGCAGGGGTCAGCTGCACCTGTTGAACTCCGCCTTGGCCCTCCCTTCCTCGCAAAGCGGGGGGGGTCACCCCCCTCAGTCCTTTCCCCCAACTTCCAGCGGGGGAGGGAGGGGATGATGGGCTTTGTAGTTGCTCCCTCCCCTCCCCCGCTGGAAGAGGCGCCGGCTTCGGGGGAGACGAGAGGAGGCGAAGAGGCCGCCCA